TATTTAAACTAGACACATTTAAGCAATATCAAATAGTAGTTTCATTGCTTTCCCTTTCATTGTTTTTCAAAGCACTGATACCTGGCCCTTACGTACCTCTTCTGGGTGGATTGTTTAATTCTCTGCTTCATCTTCCTTTTCATTTAAAGATATTTCTATCTGGAGGAGTGACTTTTACACACTGTTGGTGGGAATCTAAAAGTACACAATCACTTTGGAAAACAGTTTGGACAGTTTATTAAAAAATTAATCACCCACTTACCATATGATCTGGCCATTCTACTTTTAATTATTTACCCAAGAGAAAAGGAGGCCTATGTCCAGACAAAGATTTGCACACCAATGTCTGTAACAGCTCTGTTTTACTAGCCAAAAACTGTGACCAACTCAAATGTTTATCTGCAGGTAAATGGATAAACAAATTGTGGTTTATCCAAACAATGGAAAAATACTCAGCAATAAAAAGGAATGAACTATGCATAAATCTCAAAATAATTATGGAGGAGTCTTAAGATAATAATGCTGAGTAAATGAAGTTAGACAAAAAATTATTGAATGTATGATTTCATTTACATAAAATTGTAGAACGTGCAAATAAATCTATAACAGAGAGCTGACCAGTGGTGGTAGGGAGTGGCAGAAGGGAGAGATTACAAAGGGGCACATGGGAACTTTTGAGGGTGATGGATGTGGTCACTATTTTGATTGTGGTGTTGCCCAATGATTGTATACATATATCAAAAATTATCAAGTTATATACTTTATATGCAAGTTATTTGCCTTACTAAAATTATTACAAATACATAGCTATAACATTTTTAAAGTTCTAGAATAATTTAGGCATCAGAAAGCACTTAATATACATTAATCTCTATATTATATTAAGCATCTAATAGGAGAGCACATTCAAAATCACTCACATGATGAAAGATCACTAATGATAATTTTGCAAAAAGTCTGCCCTAAGCAAATAGAGAATATACAAATGTTTCATTTCCAGGTACAGTGAATGATACTCAGTCTTTACTGAGGTCATCTCAAACTTATGTGTTCCACAGTTTAAAAAAAGAAAAGTAGGGAACAGAATGGAATCAGTTTATCAAAGTATTCATTGACCTGAATTTTTTTTCTTTTTTTAATTGAACTAAAATCCACATACCATAAAATTTACCCTTGTAAAAATTACAATTTAGTGGTTTTTAGTATATTCACAAAGCTGTACAGCCGTAACCATTCTCTAATTCCAAAATATTTTCATCACCCCAAAAAGAAAGCAAAGCAGTCACTCCTTATTCCCCCCTTTCTCCAGCCCTGACAACCACCAACCTATTTTCTGTCTCTATGGATTTGCTAATCTGGACTTTTCATATAAATGAAATCATACAATATATGGCCTTCTGTATCTGGCTTCTTTCACTTAGCATAATGTTTTCAAGATTCAGCTATCTAATAGCATATATCAGAATTTGATGCTTTTTAGGGGTAAATAATATTCCATTGTAAGAATACCATAGTCATTAGTTGATGGACATTTGCATTGTTTCCACTTTAGGGCTATTATGAATAACGCTACTGTGAACATACATCAACAAGTTTTTGTGTAGACCTACATTTTCACTTCTGTTGAATATATATACCTAAGGGTGTCATAAGGCAATTCTATGTTTAACTTTTTGAGGAACTACCAAACTATTTTACAAAGCAGTTACACTATTTGCCATTCTCACCAGCAATGTATGAGGGTTCTAATTTCTTCACCAACACTTGTTATTGTCCACCGCTTTTATTATAGCCATTGTGGTGAGTATGGAGTGATAGCTTGTGGTGGTTTTGGTTTGCATTTCCCTAATGACTAACGATGTTCAGCATCTTTTCATTCATTGACCCATTAATCCTCAGAAAAAGGATTAGACCTGACTGGTACCTGAATGAATGACCACCTTGTCCTTCCCCTTTTATTCCCTTTCTATACCAAGATGTCATTTATTGACTCATTCAATGAGCTTACACTGATACTGACTCAGCCCTGGGTTAGATGCAGTCAAAAATTCTAAAGAAATAGAAATGATAGCCTCTATTATCAAGAAGCTTAAATTATAATTGAGAATAAGAGTGACAAAGGAATCATAATGGACATATTTCATAAAGATACCTTTAAAACATGTATCTTAAAAGATTAGATCAAAGGTGATTTTCAAGTAGAAATTCCTTCCTTAAAGCCCTAGAATCCCTAGGCACTTCTTGTGAAAGCTGTAACCCAACCATGCAAATTGCGTAAAAACACTTAACTGTACATATTTCAAGGGTAGGGCTTTGTGGATAAATGGAGTTAAATCAATATGTCCTGGTTCTGGAGTGTCCTGGGTCTCACTTGCTGGCGCACTCCTTTGACAGGGTTTTGTTACATAACTTCTATGTGTGAAGCGCTGACGTTCAGCTGGGCTGCTGAGTCAGATGTTTGGGCTCTTCTGGAAACCACATGTGCGCACTGACACGGAAACTGCAGCAGGCAGGGAGGGAGCTTGCCTCTCTTGGGCTGTGCCTCCCACAGCATCACTTCCTCCATCTTTCTCTCGGGCCTAGGGGGTAAAATTGTCTGGTTTCCACCATTGCCACATCATGAATTCCTGCTGTCTTTCTTCCTAAACACCCTGAGGTTGGGCCAAGCAGCCTCTTTTATAGAGGACTCAGCAGCTGAACTGATAATGCTAGAACACGATGTCAGAAAAGAGACCTCAGCATGCAGACTGCGGCTCCACAGTATTGTCTCCTTCTGTTGATCTTTGAGGAAACAAGAGAAGTAGGCACAGGAATGAGGCAGAGAACATTTTGAATCAGCAAAAGCATCCAATGGCAGATTTCTGGAGGTCTAGCATTCAAACTTAAAACAGAAATAGGTTTCTATAAACTTAATTTGAGTAACTAAGATATAGCAAGATTCTTTCACAATGTTGTTGACCCAATGGCATCATTAGTCACATGCCAGGCAGACATCTAAAGAAAACTATTAAATCCATCCTTCTGAATTTAGTAATTGTGTATGTGCATCAACATGCGTATATAAATCCTTAATCTTCATAGGATTTATGGTCCAGAAAAACCACATGCCCATGACCTTAATTAATATAGTTTAAAACTGAGGCAGTGACCACTTGGATACAAGTCCCAGTTTTGCTGGTTAGTAATGTACATGACCTTGGGCAAGTCATGTAAAATGTGAAAATCTCAATCTCCTTATTGTTAAGGTCCATTGTACTTGTAAGAAGCGTTTTGTTCTAGTGTGTACCCTTTGTGGCTCGTGCAGTACCTCTGGGTTCTTTGACTTCGGTTTTGGTTTCTTGCCTCCCATCCAGGCCAGCTCCAATTTTCTGCAAAATGGGTAAACCTGCCTGAAATAAATTTAAAAAAAAAAATCTCAATGTCCATCTCTAAATCAGTCATATGTCACCAGATGGTGAGGATCCACTGTAGCTTAATGGTAAGGAGCATGGAGACTTAGTTCTGAGGGCATTGCAATTGGTGCCTGACAGACCTGGATTCCAGCACTGATTCGGACAGCTACGAGCCATGTAATCTCGGACAGAGGACTTCCAGGCACGAAGCTCGGTTTTCTCATTTGTACCTCCCTGGGCTGTGGGGAGGTTTAAATGACAGACATATACAATACTGTGCCAGGGCCTGGCACACAATGAGGGAGCAATGAACATCAGTTATTCTCTTGGCAAACATGATCTCTGAATTAGCTATCTGGGAATTCAAGTGACATACACTCATGACATATATTAAAGTTTGAAAGAGTCCCTTATGCTAGTCCTCTAATTCCATTCTTTCTCCAACAAAAATCTCCACTTGGATAGCAATTTACAGTTTAAGATCTACTTTCACACATATTGCATTTTTTTCCTCTGACTTCTTTTTTTTAATATGCCACGCAGCATTATCCCAAGCCCCAATTTTTATGCACAAAAGGATAACAAAAGAAAAAAAAGTAGAGCATTAGTTATGCATTACTAGCAAATTTAAGCAAATATTCCTAAACATTTAACTAATTAATTAACAAGGGCTCATTGTGTTCCCCTTAGTATGACTATTGTAAAGAATCATTATTTTTACTTTATAAGAATTTTATTAATATGTATTAATTCAACTTGCATTATGCCAACATGACATTAATATGCAGGGCTAGAGTCCTGTGAGATACGTTCTCTCTTCTATTCAGAGAGAAGTGAATACTAGCTACAGTAAAGGGCCAACAGCAGTTCACACAGGTAATGCTTGACAACTGGCCATTGATAAGAAAGACTTGGATTCGTTGTGAAGTACAATGATTCCTGAATAATACGAGGTATTACTACTGTGTACCCAGAAGAGACTGCAGGGCCAGAGCCAGGATCAAACAATTCCTGAGCTAAATGAACATTGTTCTAGGAGTTGTGGAAGAAAAGACAAAAGTACAGCCTTGGACCATACATAATCATATGCTACATTGTTCAAGGTCGGCGGTGAATGCCATCAGGCAGTGGTTTTCAAAAAGGGTAGGGCACCTTGAGCTCTAAAGAAATCCTTCCAGTGGTGTCCAGTATGTAAAAGAGACACATGAGAGGAGTTAAGTTGACCAAAGAAGTGAAGAGCACCCCCCATGCCCCTCCCCCATGGCTCAGGGCTGCAGAGATCACAGTTCTTAAAACTGTCAGAACTTGAGACATGGGTAAGATTTGAATGACAGAGAGAGGGGAGGACAGCATTCCAGGTAGGAAGAACCACTAGAGCAAAGGCAAGGTGGGAATTCAACGTAAGTAGTCGTATTGCCTTCCTCATGGACACCTAGCGAGCAGGAGGTGGTAAGTGGGAAAAGGCCCCCCACATGGTCGTTTTTGGTTTCCAACCTTAGCTAATTTTCAAATATGTGAAACCTGGTGAAATAGTTAACAAAGGCAGATGGGAAGCCTAAGGTTAATGGCCTCCAGTCAAATAATGAATCTTGTTGTTATTCATTTCAGAATCATTTCAAGTAGTCGTGAGAGGCAACGGCTTCCGACACGCCCGCAATGTGGACAGGGTCCTCTGCAGCTTCAAGATCAATGAGTCGGTCACGCTCAGTAAGTCCTTGCACAGTTTGTGGGTTTCTTCAGCCTGCTCAGGGAAGGGAATGCCAGGCCCATCTTCCAGCAAGGTCACACACAAGAAACTGTGCAGAGAAGGGTCTTACCGACAGGAAAGGCCTCCAGCAAGGGCATAGCTACTCCGTAACACACCGTTGTTCCCATCAGGAAAGGTACCATACCTGTTTCATACTCCACCAATAAGTATACTAAGTTACTCCATCTCAGGTGGCAGTGCCAGCTCTGGTTGGTGAGAATTTATGAAGCTTGACAATCCTTAACAAAGTATTAGGGATTCTCAAGCACAAGAGTGAAAAATAGACCGTCTAAACGTATTAATTTTGAGTAAACCAAAAGCCAAACTGTTAAGCTTGCATGTGTAGGTCCGGGAGTTTTTTTCAATCTGGATGATTCTTGCTTGGAGTAGCCAAGAAACTCTCATCATGGTGAATACCTGACATGAAATACAGGATTATGAAAGTAAAACTCAGTGTATTTCATGCGAAAAATGAATTATCATAGCACTGGCACTTTCACAAGCCATTTGTAGCAGGCAAGTTCTTAATTTAAAGACATGTGTGATTCATGGAGCTGTCCAGGAGACATGGGGAAGTCTGACTATGGAAGGACAGATGGCCAGGATCCCTTGTTATTATTTACATCTGGCATCCATCACCCAGATAATTATTGACCCAGGATCTTCAGTGATGCACAATAATAATATACTGCATTTTCTATAGTACTATGTCCTTTTAAATGTTTCACATCTTTTTGCCATAACAGCCCTGGGAGGTAGAAAGAGAAAGGAGGACCAGAAGGACACTCACATTTATTGACCAGCCACTCACACTAGTTTTGTCCTCCTGATGATAGCCTTATGGAGTAGATACTATCCTGTTTCTATAAAGGAAGAATTGAAGGATATACCTTTTTTTCCTCCTTACCATCTTAAAACCCATTTGAATATTTAAACAGAGGTATGCAATGGCTTCCTAACAAACATCTGGAATTCCTGGCCTTGGAATAATCCCAAGCATTTGAAACATTCTGTTAATTTTCTAAATACTTGGAAATACTCTCACATCTCCAAAAGGTACTTGCTATTTGAAAACATTTTTAAATATTCCCGACTAATCACATTATGAAAGCTGGATGTACTCCCTCTACGGAGCTCTTCAATTTTTTTCCCCTTTCAATTGTGATGTTGCTCAAGTCAGCCGTTCCTCTCCTTAACCAAAACCTTTGAGGGTTAAACTCAAAGACATCGACGCCTTCCAAAGAAGACTTCCCAGACAAACGAGCCTTCGGACCAACCCCTCTCTGAAGATGAATGGAAACGGGGTGTAGTGTTGCCATTGCTTGAAAGGCACAGAGATGCTGCCTTAGGATAACGTGGAATGCAAATTCACTATGGATTTGTAGAATAACATTATGAAAGTCTATTTTCCACTTTCTCTATGGAAGTTTCTCCCTCTTCTCTTCCTTTCCTAATATGTACTTGCAAACACCTGCTCAGCTCTCCACCTCATTCATCCTCAAAAAGAAATATGGGCTATTGGGATAGGGATTTGGCATAAACCACAAACCTGATGGTGCTTCCAGCACAGTGTTGACATTTTGGAAAAGAAAAAGGCAGTGACCCAAACATATTATATACTGTAAGCAATACTCCTAAACTCAAACATATGGTTTTTAAAGATAACCATAAGGGGGGAATATTGGAATTTGGGGAAAAAAAACAAAACACCTGTCTTTTATTTATTAATTCACCTGTTCATTTCCATTCAGTAATTAATATGAACAAGAAGAAGCTATGGGGGACAGAAAAGATGAGTATATTTTTAAATGCAACATATTCACATCTACATTTTTCTATCAACCTTATGAATATAACAGTCTCTATGGAGTTTTCTCTGTAAAATAAAGTAAATGTATATTCCTTTACTTTTCCCATTTGCCTTTCCCATCTCTACGTCCCAAGTTTTAAAATGTTAGGTATTTTCATTTTTAGAGTACATATTTCCTCTTTCAAGATCTTTTCCTGAATGCTGCATTAAGTTTTGTAACAGAAAGAAAATACAAGTGCCATTAATAATCAGTAAAAGATTAATTGATGGCCCAATTATGAAACTAAGGCTGCTGCTTGTATCCAGCCTGTTCAAACATGATACAGTCCTCGGAGTCTTCAACAAATAATACAGTAGCATATTGTATGAAACAAAACTGTTAGATAGAAAAGAACAAACTAAAAATTTATATTTATAGTGGGAGATTTTAACGTGACTTTCTGAGGCTTTTAATGGATAATAAAAAAATTAATTTTATTTATATAGATAATGTATTTATTATATATATATATATATACATACCTTTTTAAATGGCTATGAACATTCTTAAATATTTGTTATACTAAGACACAAATAAAATGCCAACATATCAATGCCAAAAAGTAAAAATTATTTAAATATATTCTTAAATGATAAATATAAGCAGACAATAAAAAGCGTAGGTTAATACATACTTCTCCCTCACTTTCCTTGCCTTTGTTTAAAAATAAAATCCATGAATGAACCACTTAGAAATCTAAAACAATTTCTGGACCTGTGGTCAATATAATAGATCCAGAAATTCTGGGTAAGATATGATTTTTAAAATTGTAACAGGTGGCCCTGTTCAAAGTCAACAACCCCCTCTGAAGGGGTGCTCACAGCACCAAATGGCAAACCATATGAAGATGGAAAAAAGAAACAGGAGAACAAGCAATAAGAGAGGACTAGGGAAAAATCTAAAGAGAATATATAAAAAAGCACATTTAAAGTATGCAAAGAGTTCAAACATACCAAAAGGGAAGAACATTCAATGAGGGCAGATTTTCAGGAGAACCTAGTTTAAATTCTAGAATTGAAAAAGTTTATTCACTGGAATACAACTTAATGGATGGACTAAGCAGTATGATTAAACACAGGTGAAGATGAAATACATGAACTGGAAGAGAGATACAAGAAAATCCCACTCCCCAACCAAAGCACCAGACCCAAATTTTTTTTACCCAAATTTTACAAGGCCTTAAAGGACAGATGGCTAGTATCTAATACAGGTCTAGGTATTTTCACCATAAGCATCTTTGCCGTAAACGTCTTTGCCTCAAGCATTATCACTGCCAACATCTTCATTGCACGACTCATTGGCAGGAAGGCAATTTTGCCATAAAAAATAAAAACAACTGGATTGACAGTTTGGTGTACATTTGGCAGACTTTGTATATTTAAGCTAGCTGTCAGTTGATTTCATTTCTCCATTGATGAAGTTCTCGGAATTACTCCCATTTTTATATCATGTGTAGACCTTAGCCCTCATAATGGTCTATACAGTGACAGGTAGATGTGGTGATTATAAAGCAGTGGATGATGACAACTACTATGAAGCCAGATTGCAAAGCTACCTGTAAAGCCGGATTGCACACTATACTAGAAAATGATCATGTAGTTTGCAAATCCTTCAGTGAATACAGTCATCCCTCCTACCCATCAAAACCAAAGGTTTCCCAAGCTATGGCAAATATAAAAGAGGTGGCTATTAATTCACAGTCTTCAAGAACATTAATTATCTGTTCTCTAGTTGGAAACTCATACCTCTCTTAATGAAGGAAAAAATTGAAGCAAAGAAGAAAGATGCTATGCTGAAAGAAGAGATAAGACAAACAAAAAAATATATAATATGATGAACAAAGGCTTCAAAGATGATGTATGGTCATTTTTCACAATAAAATCTTTTTAATTTTGTTATTAATTTTTCATGTTTTATTATGTCCTTTTTAATGTCCCTTTTTTAACTTTTCATTATTTTCTATTTTATGGCAAAATTGCCTTACAGCCAATTAGTGGTATAGTAAAAATGTTTGCGGTGAAAATGCTTGCAGCAAAGATGTCTACAGCAAACATGCTCATGGCAAAAATGCCAGACATGAGCACAAGCATTGGAACCCAACCACCCAGGAAAGGAACCCTGGCTCTGTCTTAAAGCTGTGTGACCATGGCATGTTACTGAGCATCTCCATGCCTCAATTTCTCTATGTGTAAAGTGAGTATGGCAACGATAGCACCTCTATGTGGATTGTTATGAGATTTAAATGTGGGAAGTGGGACTTCGAACAGGACCTGACACACAGTAAACAGTGGATCAATGTGGGCTGCTGGTATTAATTTATTATAATCATTATCACTATTATTAAATGGAGCAGCAACTGAGTTGCTGTTACAAAGACAGCAATTGTCTTCAGATTAATATTTAGTTTTAGTATAACCCCAGTGAAAATTCCAATGGGACTTTTTAAGTTAACAAAATAATTCTAAAGTTTATATGGAAGAATAAACATTTAAGAATAGCCAAGAAAAATGTGGAAACTTGCCCTAGCCTAGCCAATTTTAAGATGTATAAAAAGCCCTAGCCAAATTTTATATGTAAAAAAAGTAATTGAAACAATGCATGACTGGTGCCACAAAAGGCAAACTGAGCCTTGAAACAGGAAAAACAAAGCTCATAAACAGAGCCAAACACTTATGTTAGTTTAGTATAAAATAAAGTGACCTTTGTAATCATTGGGGAAAGAGTGGATTATTCAAAAAATGGTGAGACAACTGGCTAACCACTTGGAAAAACAATTAAGTTTGGTTTTATCTCACACCTTACATCTAAACAAATTCCAGATGAAAAATTTAATATGAGTATAAATCTATAAAAGTATTAGAAGGAAACAAAAATAAGTATTTACATAATTTTCTGGTAGGGAAAGACTTTTTAAGCATAACACTGAAGGGAGATACCATAAAGGAAACATTTGATAGTTTTGAGTACATATGTTTTAATACTTCTGTTACCCTCCCCCCAAAATCTAAAAGAAAGAAGAAAATTGGCAAAATTATTTTTAAGACATATCACAAAGGGCCAATAACCTTAAGGTTACCACATCAATGGGTAAAAGATACGAAAAGGAAATA